AGTAGGTATATCAATAATCTGTAAACAATACCACTGAATTTTCCATTTCTCAACATAATAAGCTTCTGATGAAGATCAATGGATGGATATTTCAAAGTCAGCAAAGGCATATTTTCTAGATTCTTCAGAATAGTTTGCAGCAAATTCAATGCATACTCCAGTCGCATATCCGAACCAGTTATGCAAGGTGAGAAATCGAATTCTATCAAATCTCTACATAGATTCAATTTGTGCATACACTATGAAATTATAAAAAAAAATATAATTAACAAATACACTCAGTAAAATCTTACTATTTTAATTTTCTATAACTTAATCAGATATTTTTATAATTTTCTAAGTAACTTCATTCCAACTATGCTAATTTCTTCATTTGATCGTTGTGATAATTTCAATAAAAACAGGAAAAATTTATCGGACAAAAAGTGTTTTAAAATTATCGGATTCATCTGATTATTCATCAACATCTTCAAACAGTAACTGCATATCTCCTGTAGTAGATTTTCGTTAATTTCAGATTCGATATTTGCAAAAATCTTTCAATGACGAAGCAACAGAAATTAATATCATTTGAAACAGACGGTTTCAATAGCAAAATCGAATATAAAAGATGTTGTTCCTGCATTACTTTTGGTATATATTCCACTATATCGGTATGTATTGATCTATGACTCAATTGCATTAATAACTTGATAACTCTTAAATTGAAAATGAATAAATTTATTATTTTAAATAAATATGCTTTACCTTACCTGGTTTGTACTTCATTTTCTGTAGTGAGAATGAATTTGGTTAGCAAATATTCCGACCTTGAGCTTTGCATACAACTTAGCAATACCGAATCATCAGCGGAGTTATGAAGCCACAGCGATATTAGTCTTTGTTTAAAAAATGCACTGCCTCTACTTAGTAACCACAATAATTGTGATTTGTGATACGTTAACATTGTGCAAATATTTGACTTTTGAAATAAATGAAACAGATTTTTATCCAAATTGTAATCCACTATTTCATTCTTCTCCGCAACATGTACTGAATATAACAAGTACATAGATTTCTGCACAGCTGGATTGGTAGGAAATCCTTTTTTAAATCTATTGATCAACGCGGCATGGATATATTTTGATTCCTGGCTATAGCTACAAATTTAGAAATTATATAATATAAATAGATTAAAACAAAAAACTTACTTTAGGTACATTAATTCGATATAATAAATTATAAAAGAAAATTGGTTATCGAATCTTGAATATTCCATGAAAGTCTTGATTAATGAAAAAAGATCAGCGTTATTTAAATTTAAATTCGGAAAAATGTAACTCATCATTTTCAGAAGAATGTCAATAACTGTATGGTTGTATTCCTCGAAATTTAGATTGTATAAAAGAAAATGAATTTTCTTTATTAATATCTTCATAATAGATTCAGTATTTTTGTAGGATGTCAATATTTTGGATATTGCATCAAAGAACATTGAAAGACTTAATTCGCTGTTTTCCTAAAACATAATCATTCTTTTTGCGAAATGCAGTTATTAACTTTGATATTTACCTCGCTCACATATTTCGTGCCTAAGATTATGAAATCATTGAACGTCTCGATTTCTGGTAAAACCGACTGCTTCCTGGAAAAAGCATTACTTTAATTTCATTCAATTACCAAGTTAATCGATCGCACCGCAATATTGCGTCAACTATTTGGAATCCGTGGATGTAATCTTTCTCCAGATGAACAAACAGTTCCGTCAAACAATCATTGTAGTTAGTTTTGTCTATTAAATTCAAATTTTCCATATCAATCATCTCCAAGAATATCTCGCAGCACATTTCGTTTGTTGATATATGTTCAGTGTGCGAACTCTTTAATACTGTACTTATAATCTCACATATTGTGTCTATATTAACGACAAACTTATCGGATTTCAATCTAAAATATAGTTATTTATATTAAGAGTATACTTAAATGCAAACAACTATATTACATACTTTGATAATATTTTTTTGAACGTTTTTAATAACAACAATAAAGTTTCGGTGTGATCCTCTTGCCTCACAAAGAAGTTTAAATTTCTCATTATAAAGTCTACCGAATTTGACATATTACAAAGTTCCATCTGATCGCTTTCCCAGAAATGCTCCAAAATTTTTGAATTTAATCTGTAAATTCAAATGTCTAATTGTAGGTCATTATTATGTCAAAGTTTTGTAAAGTTTACATAATGATTTGATGGTCCATTCCGTCCAATTCTGGCAGTTCGTGGAAAGGATAACACTTTCTTATTTTATCCACACGTCTGAATTCTTCGTTATCATTTTCCAATAAGTTGACAACTTTTTCCAGAATGCTTACATCCAATATACTAAATGTTGCCATTCTAAAAACTCAATATAAGTTGTCTTAATACGAATACTTTATATATATATATATGAATTAGTAAGGTATTATTCTTTATTCGATTCCATTTTATCAACAATAATTATGTAACAAAAATGTTAGAAAACAACAACTGGTATAATTGAATAAGTAATAAACTATAAATATAACTATTTTGTATTACTCTTCCAATATAAAAAGGATAATTGTATATAATTAGTAATTTGAATGGATGATAGTTATTTCAAATTTAATTGAACTATTTTAATAGTATTGCTATTATGTATGCAACCAATATTACACTAATGTTTCAAATTTAAAAAAAATACCGTTGCTACAATTTTACATTGTTAATTGCATTATATTTTACATATTAGCAAATACTCTACTAATTTATTAAGTTTAACAATGAATACCACACAATAGAAATCATTACAAAAAAGAGTAATAACATGTGTTGTTACTATGTTATATATAAAATAACACGAATTTTAATTAAATTACGAAGCTTATTCTAGTAACGGAAATATACTTACTTTTTGAATATTTAGCAAAAAACAGGATTTATCTAACTGTACTTCTTACGTAATTCACAGCTGTTTATACACTCAACAAACAACTTGAAACAAATGTTATTTTTGCAGCGCTAGTTTGACAATCTTTGATATTAATAATGAAACATTATAATAGCTTTGTTGCAATGACTACTTACCAAGCTAATAAAACAAAAGAAAGAAATTGTTTTTTGTTTCACAGTAAATAGATTTTCAAATAACAATGAACAAAAAATATCTAATAAAAAATGTTTTTAATAAACAATCCAAAATAATAGACAAGTTTTTGTTGATGTTCTTAATATGGACATAAATCTATACATACATAAACCAATGCCAGTTTGATTTAAGCTCATAAATTGTAAAAAATCAACTAACTTTAATAAATGAGTTGCTATAGATTATTATGAAATCGAAAGTTAATTAATTATCTCCAAATATAATGATTTTCCTATACAAAAATGGGTTAATAAAAAGGTCATCCATAATACTGTATTACTTTTATTTATTATCATATTCCAAAAAAAATATATATAAAATAATCGAAAAATTATAACCAAAAATAGTATTAAAAAAAAATGTACAGTATGTATTTTGTGCTTGTTACTTTTTTTTTACACATATTATTTCTCACCTTAAAGGGACACTGAGGAGGGTTGGTACTATGAATTCACTTTAAAGATTAATTCAAAGGATTTGTACATACAATTATTTAAAACAAAGAATGATTAGAGACTAGAGCAGAGTCCGAAGGAGTATTCTTTCATTATCAAAGAAGTAATAATTAATAATAAAAAAAAGAACACTTCATGATTAAACATATCTAAGAAAGAACGCGTTGCGTTCGTTTTGATTCCATGTGAAATAACGGTGTAAAAAATATAGTTTAAAATTAAAAAATAACAAGAAAAGAAGGACACGTTAAATCATAGAGAGCGTGATAATTGGATATGTCGTTGGTATCAAAATTACCATATAGATCTACGTTTAGGATGTTTTGTTGAATTGGGGAGGGATAAGGAGGAGGTTTTTTTTTTGTTATTTGAAGAGATTCTTCTGTTGTTGTTGTTTTTTGCACTTACGTACATCAACATTGTAATACCATCTTAGGGAAAGGGGATAGGGGGGATGGATACTGAGCAATTATGAACGGATTCTTATCGCCTGAAATCATCATCATTATATATCTACTTGTGCCACTTGAAATACCGTCTCTTATAAATTCTTATACAGCATGAGAATCCGTCTAATTTGCTTGTAATGTTGTTCATATATATTTTTGTTTCTTTACTTTAAATATATATATATAGTTCTCTTATAGATATATAAAATATCTAAGAATATATCTTATAAACCTAAGAGAGCGGGAAGAATCATTATTAAAATATTGTTTAAACGCTATATATACTTAATACATATATATAATTTAAAACACTAACTTGTAAACAGTGGGGGAGTGAGGAGAGTCTGTTGAGCAGGTTTCTTTCCATTTACATCCGTATATAGAATTAACAGCATTTCTTCAAGCAAACCGTCACTCCATCACAATTTTATGCGTAGTGTCGTCCGTATATGTGTTTGTGACCTCTCAACATTATATATATATATATTTACTTATGTTACCGATAAAAAAAAACACAAATAAAAGTATTAAATAAATATATGTATATGGCACTATTCATTTCTTTCTCTTTTTTTTATTCTCGAAAAACGTTTATTATACTCTTCAAACACGAAGAATCCAACGAATTTAACAACTAATTACTTGATTTATGTACACCTTCGTTCGCACGTAGCTTTCAGTTACGTGCGAAGAAATTCATAAAAATTATACTTTTTTTTGTTATTGTTGTTGTGAAGGTCATTCAATATCATACTTTTTAATTTGATCCGAAAATTGTTATTTCACCTGTAATGATGATAATCAGTGCGTAAACATTAACTATATATACAAAACAAAAATGATATATATATATACGTAAAAAAAAGTTGATTAATAATAATATATATATATATAAAAAAAGAAAATTATATAAGGATAAAAGAAGAAGAAGATAAAAGTAAAAAGATTACTTTGAATTATTTTGTGCTGTATACTGCTCTAATATGAATAATTTACAGGGGATGTTTGTTTTAGTAGTCGGTTTTTGGTTGAGGAGATTCATTTTTGTTCTTTTTGCTGTCGACAAACTACTTATGTCATGGGATTTAGAGATTCGGGGTTGAGGTGGAGTTTGAATTCTCTTTTTCATATTTTTTTTGTTCCTTAATTAACTCCTAAATGTTAAGACGTAATGTTAGATAGAGAGAGAGAGAGAGCTGGAGGAATATCACAAGGGTACGTTAGTGAGTTACAGCTCTTTGGCTACGTACATGTACAAGTGAGTATTATAGGCCGTTTCGAGCTGCCGATATGTGTTCAATAAGGAGCGAACCTGTTGTACCCACTCCTATACACTGCGGCCTAAAACAAATAGAAACAAAACAAGAAAGAATAATTAGTATTAGTTGTAAGGGTATTTATAATCGCTGATGTTGTTACCCCATAGCCTGCCATTGGTCCAATGCCATGTCCCAGATAAGGTTCGTAATCACGGCCGTAACCAGCGACTGTTGCGTAACCTGCGACTGGTTGGGCTGCTGCTGCAGCTCCATATCGCGCCGCAACCGCTGTATAAGTAGCAGCTGCGGCGTAGCTGGCCTGTTGGGCCGTCGAAAGAGGAGTCTTGAGAAGAGGAGCTGCTGCTGCTGCGGCCTACAAAAGAAATCACAAAAACATTCATTACAATTCAACATTCCAAACACACTCACTCAATCCATGATCGTATACATCCATACATAATTCAAAGATTCGCATTCTTCAAATGAAGTATAAATATTACCAAACTTTTATTTAAACAAATTACTGAATTGAGAACATATATTCAATGTGTAAAATCATTTTAAAAAAATACAGCAATACCTCGTATAGTACGGCTTCGATAAGTCCGCCCCACAGAGAGGGAAATTTAAAAATGGACTCAATCTATGACGATTTATGTATATGTTACATAGGAGGTATAAGAATGTTAGAAATGCTTAGGTTGAGGTTGAGAAACACTGGTCTAGTAAATCCGAACTTATCGAGGACGGCTTTGAAATTTTCAAAACTAAATTTTAATCATTCGTCCGATTAGTCGGGTTTCAAATAGCCCAAAACCGTACTATGCGAGGTATTGCTGTAATTATAGAATTTGATTGTTATATCATTGAATATGAGTCGAACAATTTTGTATTAAAATATTATTTTCAGGTTGGAACGACTTGAGGTCAAAATAATAAGTAATAATGAGAAATTTCTTATTATAAATCTAATTCACCAAAACCAATATAATTTTGAGTACTATTATTTCATGAATTGAAATAATGAATTGTTAATACCTAAATTGAAATTATGTCTTTGTTTCTAAGAAGAAATTATGATTATTTAATTTAATTGATCATAATTTTACAGCAATTTGTAATAAACATCAATTTTCATGAACATAATTTATAATAATTTTTTTAGATGCAATTGAAGAATCATTTGTAACGGCTTCGTAGTTTTTACTATATTGTGATTTGATTTATATGTAATCATTTTTATTTATGTATGACCGTTACAATTAATATTATTAGTAAGTAATTGAAAATTGGATATGTTCAATAAATTCGTCAAATATGACCAATAAGCAAACTTATTACTATATTTATATAAATGTGTATAGTGCCAAAGTCATTCTGTTTCATAGACAATTCAGTAAAACAATAAAATTGAGTACTTAAAAAAACAGTAATCATGTCTTTTTTTTTCTTTTATATATACACTTTATGCTATAAACAAATAATATACAAAAATGGTTTATGAATTTATGTAGATTTTTAAATTTCGCTCACAATGAATTAACTACCAGGTAACTTTCCTTGTGCTTTTTCTTTCGGTATTTGTTATTGAGCATATGTAAAAATAACACTAAAGAAATAATCTCACGGTCTCTCAGCGACTTATCGAGAAAAGAAACACGCAAGTATTAACGATTATACCTACTACCTAGTGTTTAAATATAAGAATAAACGAGAAAAAAACAAAGCGTCATATGAAACAAAACCATTAATTGAAAGAAATATAATTCACTGTAGTTATAGTTAAAATGCAAGAATAAGTTCGTTGAAAAAATATTGTACATGTATACAAGAATACCTCGCACAGTACGGCAACGCAGATTCACTTACGGTTTGAAAATTTTAAAACAAAATAATTTTATACATAAATATCTCTTCGACCAGTTTCTAACAGCGTAATGTACAATAAAAACATGACATCAACAATGATGAATGATGTAATTTGGTCTGTGAGATTAGGGACTTTAGGACTGTTTAAAACTATTGACCTTAAGCTGAATGGCCTAAAGAGATTAAATGAAAAGTTATTTCGTTTACGAATCCGTACTCTACTGTTTTCTTGTCGTAAACAATAGATTAACTTTTTCCTTTGTTAACATCGTAATAACATTACGGAATTATTTATATTTGAAGATAACTGATGCGTTGGATTATGTTAATTACTAAAAAAAATGTACAAAAAAAAACTTGTAGTAATTGAAAATCATGTTGTTTGAAGAATATAATAATTAAACTTTAATGAAATAATTTTAAATGATGTTATTTTCAAACTAAAATCATTTGCATCACAATGATTATCAAGTTACACGGAATACGTTCCTGTTTAAAAAGAGTAAATGTAATGAACGTATAAAATCCATTAAACAATTGTATATTTAAATTCCGATTCGATAGAATGTTTAATGGAAACTCGAAATACAATGCAGCGTGTTAATGGAAACACGATCAATACAATTATATGAAATATAATGTTAACAATAATAGTAATTTATTACTTTGTTATAATTGAATTCACGTTCATGTACAAAATATAAAATCAAGACTTTATATTTATGGTAGAAATATTCATTCGAAACTAAAGTTATAACTTCTTTAATTATAGCAAACAATACAGTGAAATAGTCAAACTCATAGCAGATTTAATGAGCAATTATAATTATTGTTTATACTTTCCTGTAAAAACCTATATAATTAGATTTAATATAAGCTGAATAGATATTCTACTTATTGAATGCGCTGTTTATTTTAGATTACAAACTAATCTACTTTCCTAAATGCAACCTCACAATAAATTGTAATTTACACAATTTTATAGATTATATGTTCCCACTAATAAACATTTTTGAATGCTAAAAGTACATATAAAAGTTACTTACTTTCTTAAATTTTCTTTCCTAAATATGTCAAGATAGCAAATAAATATTTCTGTTTCATTGCTAATAAAATATATAAATAATAATTTTCTTTTTTGTTGTAACTTCAATTACAAACTGTAATATATAAAATGATCAATAGCCCTTTGTAGCAAATCAATTTGTTTTTTTTAAATTAATAATCGAAAATAAATGAATAAAATCAATAACAATTAAATTTATCTTACCTTTTAAAAAGTGTCTTGATTTAAAAAAAAAACTGTTCTATCATTGATAGATCAGTACTAACCTTACAAAGTTTCTATCAAAGTATTTCAAGAAAACAGAATTAACGCAAATTCCATAATTTGTAATGTCTTTTATAAGAGTAATTATATACTTTTACTTTTTCCAAATAAAAGTTTAAAACTAGAATAGCAATGTTTTTTTTACTTAGATGTTTGTTGCATAATTCGAATTTATGTTAAGATTAAAAATTACGTTGTATTTGACAAAGCTATTAATAAATATAATTAATAAACTCTCTTTCTAAGCTAAATTACTAAAAAGTCCATTGATCATCAATAATCTAAGGTCAACAGATGCTTTGTAGGCAATAAATCATCGTGATAAATCTTAAAAATTAACATCAACATTCAAAATTGTTTTCTACACGTTTCCTTCTATCAGTTTTGGAAATATTTTCAGAAATACTTTATCATTAGTAAATATTCAATATCGGATAGATATAAATATTATCCTTTTTTTCTTCATATTAATTTTGTACGAAAAAGGCGTATATAATCTATATTTTCGATATTCTTTACAGAAATACGTGTAAATGCAGTTTCCTTCCATAAAATTTAGCTTTCTGCATAACAGTGAAAGAGAATAAAGTAGAAAATGTATTTAATATTAAAAAACATGTAAATAATAAAATAGTAAAGTACAAATAAACAATGATTGTTTTGAAGAAAAAAAAAATAAAAGTATTCTTGTCACATAACAATAAAATTAAAAAAAAATTCCAAAAAAAAAAATGTAACAAATGAACGTAACAAATAAAAGTAACGAATAAACGTAACAAAGAAACGTATACATATAGATATGAGTGTGATCTACTTGTTCTTTTCAACATTTCTTACCTGTAACCTGTAATTAGGATCGACTGCGTGGGCGCCGAGCAGAGGATCGTAATAAACGCTGCCATCTACCGGCAATGTGTTGAGTACCGGGGTGTAACCAAGGGCCGTACCCAGGGGTGCAGGATGCCTGGCAAATGCTGCGGCTGCTGCCGCTGCCGCCGCCGTCGGATACGCAGCCCTGGTTCGTCCTCTCTGGATAGCTGCCACACCCCTCAGGGCTGCCTCGGGCCACGGGACACACATAGGAACTAAACAAACACGAATTAAAATCGGCAAATTCAATCACCCGGAATCGCAATTAGTAGCAAAATCGTCGTCCAACCGTCCGTCCGTCCCGTCCCGTGTTGTGTCGTATATTTTATTCCGAGCTCTCTGATTAATACTCGCAATAATCAGGGTGTCTGTTTCATCGAGCACAAAACGAAATTGCTTATCAAAACGTCTGCATGTATGTATGCGTGTTCGACAAATCAAGTAAATATATTATATAAATTTTTCATCAAAAAAAAATTCTACAAACATTCGCCTTTGCGCTCTCTGCCCTTTCGGATGCATCATGAACCAACGAAAAAGTACATTAAGCTCAACCATATCCATCCATAGCGGAATCTGTGATCTAGTGAGATTCGTGACATAAGCGGATATAAAAATTATTACGACAGTCCCTTCATTCCCAACTTTTTAAATCCAATCACAGTAATAATATGTATATATATATATCATAATCCCTAAGTCAAAAATAATAGTAACAAAACATTATCTACATAAGCTAGGTACGGACGGAGGGTGTCCAAACATGCTATCTATTACAACTTAATTTCTCCGAAGAGTCAAAATAATAATTTTAATAATAGGAAAATTAAGATGCGAACAGACACCCTTTCTTCAACAAATTAAAAGTGTTTAGTGTATGAAAGAAAATAATGAAATTAATAATAAAAAATCAAATAGCCCACGAAACAAAAGTATCTACAGTATAAGTGAATAAACAAGGACATTAATACTTTGAGAGAAAGATAAATGAATAAAAAACATAGAACATAGGAAACATAATGCACAATTCATAAGCGGCATTTTTTTTTTCTTCGAATTAAGTAAACAAACGTAAATTAACTAGTGTGATGCGACCAAGTAAATTTGTCTTCGTTTTGTTTCATTAAGTTATCTGATTTTTCGGAGAGGGTTTTATTGTCCTGTGGGGAATAGGACGACCTACCTGCTGGTAAAGTAGGTGGTTTCTTGGTTTGTACTCTGGCTGTTGCATTATTCACCTAATAAAACGTTTTTACATGGTTAGTTTGATAATTTACTCCAATCCAACCGAGGCGTCGACTTCAGGATTTCAATTAAGTTCAATCTAATTTCCCTGAAAGAAACGCCTCCGCCGGACTCACAATTGCTTTAAGAAAGGATTATGACTTTCTTTGATTAACTCTTACAACTCGTTTCCTTGTTATAATCCGTTCTTACAGCAACACATATTTATACGCTACCTATTGTTTTTTACATTTTTTTTTCTAATTTAATATTACAATTATTCTTGTTATTATTAAGAAATGGAATTTAGAATAAATACAATTCTCTTACAAAGTGAATCTACGAATCAAATATTGTAATGTATCTAATTGCGCAGTAATTAAAACATGTTTTGAATATCATCAACATAACAATGTTTAAAAAAAAATGCATGAGTAATTTATAAATTTAAAAATGACGTATCCACAATTCAAGAAATAGAACAGTTTTAGTTAATTTTTAAACATTGTCAATGTCGTTACATTATTTTTTTTAAACCAATATCAAATGAAGTCTAATAAAATGATACATTAAATGGAATTTGGAAAAATATTCGTTTTTTGGTATTGCTAGCTTACAAAAATCGATCAAAGAGAACTTGCAAGTCGAAACTGTTTAATATACGCGGAGAGCGGATGGAACGAATGTACTTTAGTTCATATCTAAATATAGCCAAAAGCATTCCAGTAATTCCTTTCAAATTACTAATACCGAATAGAATCCGCGTCTCAAATTATAAACTAGCAAATACCAGCCAACTGATTCTTAACCTAAACTCAAAATATTTTTTTTTTTGAAATCAAATAGTGAAATATATTAACTATATGTACTTAGAGCAAAAGAAAAGTGCAAGGTGTCTGTAAACCAATTACGAAGAAAAAAAATAGAAGAACAACAAAACAAAAAGTCGTCGATCAAAACAATCGGACACGGATCCGTTATTAATTGCATAATTAAGAAGTTAAAGCTAAATGTATTCAAGAATCCACCACTTCGAAGCAGAGAAAATGTTTATCTTTTTTAGAATGATTGTTATTTGAATTCGTTGGATTGCGTGTCGCATTGTTTTGGATCAACTTTGTTCGATTTTGATACAGGAGCAAATATTAAAGAAGCATTATGAAATTTATAGTGACTACCAGGTATTAAAACAAAACGATTGTAGAGGTAGTCTCTTTCTGACAAATCCAATAGTTTAAGGAAGAAAACTTTGATATTATGAATTAGCTCGGGAATTACGAAGTTTTTTTTTGTTGAAAGCAAGGAAATAATTACTACTAATAGTTTCGCGTAAATGGGATTTATGATAACTATGTTAGTTCGTTTTTCAAGCTGTAGAATTAATACATTTTCAGGAAATGTATGTATCTGGAATGTAATGTCTAGGTGTAATCTAAGAAACGTTTTGTAAAAAAAAAATAATATACTCTGAAGCAACTTGAAATTAATGTTAGGAAGCAATCTAGGGAGATAGTATACCTGTTCATAAAGTTTTTGAATATTCCATTAAGCAAATCCGGGTTGTTTCAACAAGTTTCCAGAATCAATTTGCGTGGTGACTAAATAATTGAGGGCTTTTGGGAATACGACATGTCGGGCTGCCTTTAATTTAAGCTCACTGTAATTGCGTTTTGTTTTTCTCTTGTGTGTGTGTGTTGTTTATGTGTCCGTGTTTTGCGGTGAATGAGAAACAAAAGAGAAGAGATAATAGGAGGTCGAATGGATAGGGAAGGAAGTATGGGATGAAGTATGAAAACGAAAAAAAAAAAATAAATAAATAAAGAACACTTGGTTTACGGACACCGCTGGCCTTACCCACTTACCTCATCGACGAGGCTGTGACGGGTGAGAGGAGTTGGGGGATCACTACACTGTCATCACCAATACACTGCCAATAAATGGCCTGAGACAGAGAACGGTAAACAGTGTGTGTGCTGGGTGGCAAAAGAACGTCAAAACAACACGTGTGAAGCAGCGGGGGTGTGTTAGTCACTTAAGCCAGCGCAAGCCACACGAGGGGTTTTGACCTTGTTTTACCAAGGATCTTACAGAGAGAGTGAGTACACCAGAGAGTACAAGAAGAGATAGATAAAAGGTCATTTTTGTCCATCGTTCGTCTTTTGTACTACTACTTGATAGCGGTCATTAAAACAAAATTAATCTCAACTTATAAGTCAACTTTTAGGGGGGTAGGGACAGGCCAGTGCTACTTGATAAATTCGCTTTACGTATCTTGGTAAATATAATAATAATAATAATAACAATTTAATAATAATAATAATAATAAACGAGAGAATCATGCACACCTCTATCTTTCTTCCCTCAACCACGGTGCCGTGAAGTCGGTCTCGTGCGCGCTCCGCATCAGCACTATTTGCGAATGTTACAAAACCGAACCCCTGCATGCAGACAGACAAAGACATGCATTAAAACAGCGTGCAATGACATGATGACATAGTTACGTTAGACGTCATGCGTCTAGAAGCTCCGTTACGTTAGAACTACTACACTGTTAAAGCTTCATCATTCCATATACACCATCAATCGCGCGCGCACACACCACTTACCACCGCCGGCTATCATTTTGATCCTGCAAATCATATATTCCAACTTTCTTCGTTTCTTTTTTCTCCTCTCCTCTTTCAAATAATAACAATTGAACCGCTCAACAGTATCGCAAGAACGATACACTACACTTGCTTCAATGGTGGCAACCTCCAGATATATACTCATTCACACATAGACGACTCCTAATCAAGTAAAGTGTAGATACACGAAGATCGTAACATTACTCTACCTCCTAGTAAGCATTGCCCAAATTGTTTACATACTGACATTACACAGCAAGGAACAGTGTACTACTTCAATGTTTTTACTTCTTGTATTACATTTTTGAGAGAGAGTAAATGAAATAATAATAATAATATTTGAAAACGAAATGTAAGGCTGCTCATTTACGTCTCAGGTCAGGTGTCCACTATCTTCTAACATCATATAATATGTTGAAATTTCTATTGCAGAGATATGAATCACTTTTTGCAAGGTGCTGGAGTTATTCAATCTTCGAGTGGCAAATATAATTGGCTATTTGTACAACTACTCGCAGCCATGGAATGAAGAAATAGGTCGGTCTGTTCCGCTAATAATCATTCTGCAAAATGATGTAGCGCACACCACTTAAAATCAAATCAAGAAAGAAAAAAAAACTATTAAAACAACTTTATTCCCTAATACTCTTATTAAATCATTAACTTGATTTTACTAAAAGAAATAGTGGTTTATTCACAAATTTAATTCAAGAAAAGAAGATAAAATCATTGGCGAGTATAAATGATGGTAATAAGTTAATTAAACAAATCTAACTAATGTTGCAAAATTTAATAGTATTAATTGATAAATATTAAGAAAAGTGAAAACCTGAGTGAGACGTGAATTAAAGAACAGCCGATCTTAAGAATCTTGATTGGTGTTAATAGTAATTCGTGAATTAGTATAAGACTGAGTCGATTAATATTGTTTTGTTATCACAGTCACCACCAAAGAGTATAGTTTCTGGTAAAGAAATGTTCTTGCCTTACATTGGATTAAGTATAATTTTAGTAAGATAAAAATGGTGTGTGTGTGCAGTGGTAATGGAGCGGACGCAACTCACAGTGTATACATATAAAATATATTTGCTGACCTATCGATCAGAGCTCTGAGCAAATTCGTTTCGAATATGTACACTACCAAGTCTCTTTAATTTGAACGGGGAGGGCGGATATTTCGGTGTGGGTGAGTCGTCACCACATTTGAGAACCCAGCCACACCGTCTCACCACATGCATCAACGTAATTCGGTACATGAAAAGTATCATTAAACTTGTCTCAGTTACGCAATAAATGAAACCATCATCATCATAATCATTGAATATTATACGAAGAAATATAAATAAAATCGTTGAAGATATTAACAACAATAATAAGAGACTTATGTAATCAAATTTCGTCAAACTTTACAAATTATATATATACTGTGTTTGTGTGGTGTAGCAAAATAATAGTATAAAACTAAATGAAAAAGAAATTGAAATAAAAATAAATTTATATATAAAACAAAAATAAGAAATGGGCAGGTTCCATATAGTTAAAACAAATAGTCAATTTTGTTTTATTCATATACGTGTATATTATATTAATATATACGTATACATACTATGTCTCAAGTGTGTACTTTTTGGCCCGCCTCGGCCCCAAGCAATATATATTAGACATACAATCTACTAAAGAAACTAGCAAGAGTTACATATGCCAAACACTCAGTCAGAACATACATAATAAGTAAATTACGGAGATATTAGAGAAAATTAAATGATATATATAAAAAATGAGAACTTATTAATTCGTAGTGCATAATAGAATCGACAGAATAATGAGAAGATCGAAACGTCGATTATACAATGCATTATGCAACCGAATGATTTGAAATAATAAGAAAATAATGTGGTGTGAGAGAGCAGCAAGATACCGAACAGTAGTAGTAGTAGTAATAGTATGTTAATACGATAGTAAAAATATGTGATAAGTCTTAATTTGATTCTCTTCTCCAAACAAAAGAAAACAAACAAAAAAAAATATACTACAGTTCGTGATACACACACCGTGAATTCACTAAATTAATTCAATTCTAGTATAGCCTTTTTAAATAAAATAGAAACAAGTAAACGAAAATGGAAAATTTCAAAAGAATACAGAATAGAGAGATAAATGATAAATAAAAAAAAGGGAAACAGTAGCAGCCAGATCAAGAAACCATAACACAAAAATTTAAAAAAAAAATAAAGAATTAAATTATATATAAAAGAAAATAAAAAGTAACAAAATACACCCTGAAATTCGTGTAATTGTGTGTGAGAGTGTGTGCTTGTGGTACATACAGGACTTGTGTTCAATAACGGACACAATGCGATTCGCTCTAGAAATATCACACGTCTCTTACGTCCTTTCATCCTAAACAACAAAAGGAATTTTGAATTATTATTTTTCATCTGCACATACCCAAGCATCATCATCGTATACAATAGAAATGGCGTGAGTAAAACTTTAGTCTGCGCATTTAAGCTATTTAAACTCTAGTTAAGTGAAACATTGCTCTTGGTTATTGAAACATCCTGTAGTGTGTCTTCTATGATATCAAAATAAAAATAATTGGAGGCGATCAAATTGTGTGTTCGGTTGTTATCGATGTAATTCATTCGCTTCTTATATTAAACAAAACAGCCAAGAAAAAGGTACGGTGCTCACCACATTTAATATTAACGGAAAGAAAGAACAACAAAATAATTTAGCCAACTAATTAAAGCGTCCATACATCATCGTCATCATCATCATCATCATGTCAAAAAAATAAATCAAAATAAAACGAACTATATTCATATCAACTTTGTGTTAACTATTATGTAGACCAAAAGTAAACGAAACGTCGTTGAAACATATTATGACGTGTTTCTGATAGAAAAAAGAAATAAGCGTTGATGATATTAAAAGTGGCGAACCTCCCTACGACTTGTATTTATTTATCTATTTTTTTTTCTTTGATTTAGTTACATAATCTCAGTCTCTCTTTCCCTATCATCTGTGTGTATTCAATTAAATGTATTCAATCCATTCTTTCCTCTCTCTCCCTTTCGTTCTTCCAAACAAAAACTAAAAACAAATCCTTCGTTAATTGAATTCCATCGATTAAAATATTCTTTTTCTTGTTTTTTTTTTCGTTTAGATCAACGTCAGATAGAAATATTCAGTGAAATTTCATCGGAGTTCAAGGCGGGCCCCACACTAAATCCTTGCATATTATATACTTTTTTTTCCTTAATTTGTTTTCAATATCTATTCAATTGATTATAAATCAGAGTAAAATAAAAAGTGCATACCTTTGATCCACGTTCATTAAAGATTATTTCCACATCTAATATTGGACCAAATTGCTGTAAACAGAAAATCATTTTATTATAAAACAACAAATACATCAGTTTCGGTATTGTGTATTCGTATTCGTTAGAAAGTGTTTATTATTGCAAAATCACCCGACGAGACCTAAACTGATTCAGTAAATAATCACGTTTCACGTAAGCAGGGACGAGAATTGGTATTACGCAATAATCCATTAAACCTCAGCCAATGGATTATCTCAAAATTTCAGCAGGTTTAGCTTGATACATACAGCAAGCAAATTATAATAATGTAGCATCAACTATGCAAGTATGCATTAAGCAATAATTACATACAATCTACCAACAGTAATAACATATTTATTGTTAGAATTGAACAAAATTATGCTGAACATGCTAATATCCAAGTTAATCTTTGTGTACTTCGTAGCGTGATTAAATAACGAAGAAAATCACACCGAACGCGTGTGTTTCAATCTAACTGTGAGAAATTGAAACAATGAAAGTAATTGTAGAAAGATCCTGCGGTAATTCAAAACTTCTGTGTCCGAAAAGAAATAAATAGTCACGCTGTCGTAAGTAATTTGTATCGCCAGATGGACGGCGGATGTAATTCAAGTTCAGTGTTATTTATACAAATCTTCGTATGTAACTGATGTTTACCTATGTGTGCGGTAGTTTTTACATAATTTATTAGACCAGACTTAGTACACGCTCTACCCCAGATTTGATTACAGTACAGCGCTTTACAAACAAAGAACCGACAGATGTTAACAGTGAAATAAAGTAGTGAATACAATTATAAATATGTAAAACAGTGAAATTCGGTTACTGACAACATATTATCATCTTAAATTCATTTTAGGAGCAAATAAACATTAAAATAACTAAGATTTTATACTTTTTTTTTTACTTAAATTGCATTTGATCTTATTTGTGAGCAATAATCAATGACAATTTAATCAAGTTCCTTCAAAAATGATATCAAAACAGGCTTTTAGTTATAGTTTAAATATAAACATATTTATCTAAATAAACAAAGTTAAAAGACGTATATGTTTTCGAGTAAATCAACTGGTTGAAATTATTTATGTTTTAAAAAAAAAGTGAAGACATTTAGTTGGCACATGAAGATCTTTTACTGATCTGTAGCAAAAGATGTTATTTATTTTGAAAAAATAATATTGTGGTGCATTAGTTCATAAATTATTTTTCTAGTCTGTCGTACCACTTCTTTAAATAAGCTCCAAATAGTAAAAGACATTTCAGTTCTTGCTGGAGTACCGAATAATGGATATAGCCGAATTTCCCTGCCCGACAATAGAGATTAGAAATTTATGGATCACTGTCGTGTGTTCGTGTATGGTGGCAGACAGCATCCGAATGTGCCTGGTGCATGCAACGTTAAATATTTGAAGGCGGTTTGAATCATGAATAAATTCATCCTGCAGTAAACTTACCCCAAACATAGCTCTCAGATCTGGATCCCTAAATCTAAACGGAATGTTTGATACATGTAATCTTTTCGGTTGATTTTTAGTAGGATCCGAGTTCGTCGTGCCCGTGGCATTGGCATCGCTGGTTTCTGTATTCTGTGCTTGTGCCGTCGGTTGTGCTTCGGCTTCAGTTTGGACGACGACAGCTCCTTCGTATGCCGGCCTCGCAGGACTGCTTCCTGCGGGCGTCTGTTCTGATGCGGCCTGCGGTGGAGGCGGCGAAAAAGGTGGTACAACCGCTGCTGCTGCCGCCGCGGCTGCAACCGCCGCAGCTGCAGCAGCCGGCTGTGGCAGAAGAGGCACATCTTTAGCATCGACGGCCGTTTTTACGTCGCCATTTTGTGCCGCAAATCCGGTGTGTGCCGCCGCTCCGAACGGGGTCGCCATACCCGTTTGCACCATGTGCTGCAAACAGAAAAAACAAGAACAAAATACTTCAGTTACTATTTCCTCTTGACCAAAACAAATCGACGATTTACGACATACGATTACTCTTTAAAGCCACAAATATTTTAAACTGCTCCAATATACAGAGACTGCTAAGACTAAACAACCGCTTTACGAGTTAAATACTCCAAGAATACACAACTTTCATCGCAATGTTTTGAAATTTCCTTAGTTTATATTATACTACAAAAAAACACATTGGTAACTTAATTTTATTCCGTTGAAATATTTACTTTAGAAGTTTCAATTTCACGTAATAAATGTATTAATAATAAATACATAAAAATGAAAATAATCAAATAGAAAGTCCTTAATATATGAAAAGGACATTTCGACTACCAGCACCGAGAAATAAGAGAAAAACGACAATTGAATTCCCTCAAATTGTATACGCAAATGCTTTGAAATTTATGTACACTTTGTATATATTATTAGCTCATTATTATAAGTAGAAAAATAAATAATTTACGACAACAAATACACTCTAGTAATTTCCCTCTAAATACTAGTCTTTGAATATCATGTAATTATTGAAATAAATTCTATTTTTAATGTTTAATGTAGTTGCAAGTTGTTATAGGATGAGTTAATTATTTAAGATGATTCTCTAATACTTTTATTAATAAATTTCTTTGCAAGTAATGCGAGTAGACAGTATACGTTGTATCAACTAATTAATGAAAAATAATATAGATTAATTGCTGTTCTTCTCGAAAATTCATCATGAAAATGTGTGTACTCGATAAAGTATTGGTGAGGTGTAGAATTTCAATTTGGTTCCTTACATATACGATCAGAAATAGCTCGAGCACAAATAGCCTCTTGTTATCCATTACATGTCGCCCGGCAGCTCGTTAGTGTATTGCATATATCTATATCGTCAACATTTCATTGTTTGAGCGATCAAATTTTTCCTTTTATATATTCGATAAATATATACATTTAATTTATATATGAATTGTATGAATCAATGAAATTTAATTAATTTAGAATTATTTCATGAACAGTCAGTTATGAAAATAACAATAATATGCAATTAACAAAATTTTCAAATATATAAATGTGAAAATTAATAATAAACAAAATTTATTGAACAATTTGCATTAATGTAGATTTTCCTCTACGAATAAAAATAATTTCAATTAATTGTATTGCGTCAGTTCGAAATTAAATATATTTTTTTTACAATTAAACATCACGCATCGCGGTGTTTTCGTTCGCTCTGCAGAATGAAAGAAATAAAGGCAGGAAACATGGGGGGGCGGCGAAATTGAAAAACAACAAACAAATATCACGGATGGAAACAGCCTGCAATTATTTCCCCTCAACCCTCTCACAACACGATCGATGTTCGTTGTAGTATTTTGTTTTGAAATTTCAATTTCAAGCTCTTAATTAGAAAGCCGGGAATCGGGAATGGATGGAAATGCGTCCGGACGGTTGATTGGAATGGAAATGAGTTCAGGTTTGGCGTCGCGACGCCTTTCATCAATTCATTTCGGTCTCAGCAGACGCACGTTTCCTCCGGATGCGACTCTCCTTTCTTTTTCTTCTCGTTCATCGTCGTCGTCTTCTTGTTTTTAATCACTTTATTCGCCTTCGTTTTGTGCCCTCTCGCCGTGTTTCCTCCCGCTTATTTCAGGAATACACCATGGCCTCCTCTTTGTTGCAAAATTAAAATCTAAATATAACAACTCGCACTCTGCGGCGTCTGCGGGACCGAAACAACCCCTCCGTGGCAGCATTTTATCCAGAAATAGACTGTCACAAGCTTCGAGAGAAATACAAAATTCCTATTTAACGCTCTTCGAGTCTGCGAAGCTGTGAAACTCACTCAATTCAATTATTTGTGAGGATCAAACTATTCATCCGTTTGCATACAATCCATCCACGTACGTGGAATAAATGGAAGAGTAAGACTATCTGGTGGAAAGCAATTTTCGCATCTCAATCAATAATACCGCTTTAGCTACGAAAACGTGTTTACCGTTTGAAAGTTTCATGGAGGACGACGTACGTTCCATCCATCGATTTCCTTAAATTTCAACAGGAAGAATTCGATCAGTGTTACGGCTTAACTTATATATGTTTATTGGCGTTCTATTTAAAATTGTTTGGCATATGCCCATCGACTCTCAATAGATTGATTTTATTTTTAAACTAAGTGTGATCTAGGCTCGTTTGCACTTCCCTTTTTTTTTCTCCTCTCTCTCTCTCTACTTATAGCATTATAATGCTTTGATGGAATCATAACGGTTTATAAATAATTCCTCTAAACTCTTAAGATGAATATCTGGTAGGTTTTCCTGGTGTTTTATTGGTGGGGCATTATTGCTTTTAATTGGTTTCCCGGTATTATTGCTTCAGTAGATCTGGTAAACATGTGTGCGAGTATGAACGAGTTTCAGGATGGCTCGAACAGATCGTTTATTAAAGCTGCATGCAGCAGACATAGTTGATGAGGTTATAGGGGACATCTTTTCATGTGGGAATTAATGACTGGTAGTACGTTGACAGACACATAAATGATGTCACCCTCAGAACCCTCGACGACCCAAACTTCATATACATTTTTTTTTTTCATAATTTCACATCTCCTCGTGTTCTCCTTTCCCTCGTATCAATCATACCAATATTTACCGATATTTAAATTTAGATATGCTCAGAATACGCATATTCCACGAATTATTCTCCAAATATTAACCTAACGTTCGAAATAGAACATGTTCATTAACAATAATCAAACTTCATATTAAAGCACCTGCTTCATCTCAAGCAAAATATTTAATTTCAAATAGTAACTCTAAAATAATGTTTATTATTCATTTTAGAAACCGGTTACATATTTATAATAACATTTTCATGTGTCGTTTGTCACATGTCAAAAAATAATCGTGAAATGAGCAGTAATTTCTTTACGAGACATTTGGCTTCTAAAAATAAAGCGCAGATGGCAGATTCGTATAAAACACGTTTGTTTAGGTTCTGACCATGACTTTGTTTCAGCTGTGACTCCTTTCCTCACAAAAAAAAAACATAATGTTTGTGTATTATAATCACTTTGAATGTCAGTAAATCGAAATCCAATTATGTGGATAAAAAATTATAGCTTTCTTATATAAATTATAAATTCTACCGAGAAACACTCGTATAATTCGATGTATGAATTGATTTTATATCATCTTAGACATGCTTGGATAATATGAAGAAAATGTACTTTTGTTTTCAAACGCTAAATGTGGTTTCAACTTATATAAACATTTAAGTTGTTTATTTTCATGTATATCACCAACTGCTCATGAGAATCATGTTTTTTTTTAAACTGTTACTGAGAATAAATATATAATTATAATATAATTTTGATATATAAAAATAAAAATATTTCTAAAAAAATCGATAAATTAAATTATTTTAATTACATAATCATTTTGATTTTGAATATGCAATAAATTATGTTTATTAATTTTATTTATACATTCTATAGTTGGTTGAGTTTGTACATACTAACTATAGAATACATAATTTGTAAAAGACAAGAAGCGTTAGTAGTAGTATTTCTTAATTAAAGAAAAACATTTATGTTATGCTTGTATTTTGAGTTCTTGGAAATGCAGAGCAGCCGTTGAGTAGGCACGGTTACAATTACTAACGGTTTCCAAGTTTTTTTTTCTTCTTTTCTTGCTTAATTAGTTATCACTACTATAATTTATTATTAACCTTTCAGTTTTTCTATTTATGCCTTACGTACAATTTAAATAATTTAAATAGAGTAAAAACAATTTCAAATTTTACAGTTGGCGTGTGACAATTTATGAAAGTTCAGCACATATAGAGAAAATACTTTACTATTTTTGATCAATTAAACTAACAACTATAGTATCAATGATAATGAAATTTGACGAGTTGACTAGTAAAATAAAGTATAAATAAGTAGTACTTACAAAAAGGAAAGAAATAATTGAGTATGATGAAGCACTTCGAAAAAAAAGACAAAAACCAACGTTGTTCACTACAAGTAACTAACTGTTTAACTAAGGCCAAACGCCGAAGAAAAAGCAAAATTACTATTTCAGGTAGAAAGAGGGGTATAAAAAGAACTGGTTCTAGAAAATACCCGTAATAACAACTTCCAATGAACGAGAGTTCTATTTTCATCCCGGCAATTATGAAATAGTAACAGGAATATTTATATATTTTCTTATAAAGCTGAATGTAAGTCGCAGCAAATAAAGGAAGTATTATAGTGTAAAAACAAGGAAGTTTCGAAATGGTGCTAAAATCACGGAGTGCGGAAACATGCCAAAATTAGAATTCTCGTTTATTGTATTCGCAAAAGGAAAGAAGGATTTGGATCTGCACACACCAAATGTTATTTATAAATCTAAATAAACTTCTAAATTTGCCAGCAATAAACGAAATCAGGAATTCAATGTGCGAATGACGAATTCCGTTACGTCCTAATAATTATTCATCTGAACGCACGGTGTGCTTCCTTCGCACGTCTTTCCATTTCCGGTGCAACAACCCTTTCTCCCGACTGCTGGCCTCTCTCTCACTACGTAGCTTCACTTCTGCACAGATCTAGTACAATAGTCATGCAGTCGGATGGATCCATTGTTTCAATTGGATTCGAAATTATTGCGAGCGGAGGGAACAACTACGTGGCATCAGTCGAATTGCTGCCGGAAGTCGGAACTTAAACAAGCGACATCCGGCGTAATAAAACTAAATCGGGCCAGCTCTGAAAGGCTGCTGCAGCACGATTCCAATCAACATCTTCGAACGAGTATTACTACCTAAGATCACGTGATATGCATAATCCTGAAAAAAAACAGCGATTGTTTGGTACGACTTATACAATTTAGTTAATTCGCGCCAAGGTCGGATTAATTGAATGGAACGCTGGAAACTTTCGTTTGTGGCCATTGAAAGCCTTAGACTTTGTTGATGAGAGACGG